ATAGCACCAAGGAACCTCCCAATATGTAAAGAGGATAAAGGATCTTTTCCCTCCGAATGGCAGACAGTGCGATAGGTTTCTACTAGTTCACAACAGGGAATATAATCAGTTTTGTTGTTCGTCTTCACCAAATATTTGGATGCGAATTCCTTGAAAGACTGTATACGTTCACATACTTGAATTTTTTTCATTTTTGTCTTATTGGGTGACTGCGAGCAAGTCACAGAGCCACTGGACCTCTTCGTTGCCTTCACTATATCCTTTGTATCTGGCAGGTATAGACTCTCTTCACCTTCAGTCAACACAACGTCTGGGCAAAGGTTGAGATGGATAACGTCTTGGCATGCCAGATTTCTTAAACGGGGTTTAACACGCTTTCTTCTATTTCCAAGCCAAGCCTCAAAATTGGTAGCGTGAGCCCATGTGAGGTGGGTGTAGGCATACTTCTGGCCCTGGCCTCGACACCCGCCCACACGACGGTCCGCATGGATGCCCTCGCTACTAAGGAACCTGCCAAGAACTATAGTGGATCTCGGCACCGTCCCCTGCCACCTGCACCAGTCATGGTAGTACCACACAAGGTCCTCACGGAGGATATAATCGTCTCTCGAGGTTGTTTTAACTAGATAGTTTTTAGTGAACTTCTTGATGGACTCTGGCCAACCACGGGCTTTGTTCCTTTTGTACACTACAGCCTTTAATCTCGGGTGCCGCAGAAAGTGGCGACTAACACGACCACGCTGTCTTGAACGCAGAGGGTAGCGTGGGGACATGTTCCTGACATTCCCAGTTGCACCGAGCGCTGAGTGTACACGATGGTCTGACATGTGGCTGAGGTAAAAGGTATTGACACTTCATAAGCACTGACCCAGGGCGTGTGTACACCACTGTACCGGCGACTGTACCCAGGTGTACCTGTAAGACTTTACCCAGGTGTACTGACGAGGCTGTACCCAGGTGTACAGACGAGGCTGCACCCAGGTGTACAGACGAGGCTGTACCCAGGTGTACAGACGAGGCTGTACCCAGGTGTACCGACGAGGCTGTACCCAGGTACTCACCTAGTTGTGCTTGCGGGGGTTGAGCTCTGGCTCTTTGTACCCAGGTGTACCGACGAGGCTGTACCTAGGTGTACCAGCGAGGCTGTACCCAGGTGTACCGGCAAGACTGTACACAGGTGTACCGACGAGGCTGTACCCAGGTGTACCGGCAAGACTGTACCCAGGTGTACCGACGAGACTGTACCCAGGTGTACCAGCGAGGCTGTACCCAGGTGTACCGGCAAGACTGTACCCAGGTGTACCGGCAAGACTGTACACAGGTGTACCGACGAGACTGTACCCAGGTGTACCAGCGAGGCTGTACCCAGGTGTACCGACGACTGTACCCAGGTGTGCCGGCAAGGTTGTACCCAGGTGTACCGACGAGGCTGTACCCAGGTGTACCAGCAAGACTGTAACCAGGTGTACCGACGAGACTGTACCCAGGTGTACCAGCGAGGCTGTACCCAGGTGTACCGACGAGGCTGTACCCAGGTGTACCAGCGAGGCTGTACCCAGGTGTACCGACGAGGCTGTACCGAGGTGTGCCGGCGAGGTTGTACCCAGGTGTACCGGCGAGGCTGTACCCAGGTGTACCGGCGAGGCTGTACCCAGGTGTACCGACGAGGCTGTACCCAGGTGTACCGACGACTGTACCCAGGTGTACCGGTGAGGCTGTACCCAGGTGTACCGGCAAGACTGTACCCAGGTATACCAGCAAGACTGTACCCGCGTGTATTTGTTGACAATGTGCAGCGCAATGTGTCGACGCGCAGCCTATAGTGCGCAGCTCCTCTGACCGTACCAGTAACATATATAATATAACATATCGCACCTCAAGTTAAGGATAAAATAATACAAATATAAGCAAAAATCTATATTAAAAAGAGCAGACATTAAAGATATGCTTTGAAGTAGAACAGAGAGAAGTTTTCGTTTATTGTTTACATGGAGAGTGGAGGAAGGTGGAGCCAGACTCCCTGGCCACCTTTATGTCTTCTGATGACTGATGACTCCTGCTTGCTCCTGGTGCCCACAACCAGGAGGAACCATAGAACGTTTCTTGCTATATTGTCCATGCTTTTACTCCTTGGTTTACTAGGTACCCACAGGTTCCAGGGGTCCTGTGGGTTCGGGTATGTTTGTTGAGACAGGAAAATACATCTCAAAGGGATAGAGTAGCTTAGGCTATTTCTTCCCCCCCCCCCCCATAGGTCCTGCAGGAGGGCATGACAGAGGTTTATAAAGAGGTCGTTCCAGGGGCCCAGCAGGAGGGCATGGTAGTGGTTTACAAGGTCGTCCCAGGGTCCTGCATGGGGGCATGGTAGCGGTTTACATGGAGGTACAGCAAGGGGATTGGTGGGACCTCACAGCTTTATACACGAGGCTATACACCATGTTGGATGCTCACAGCTTTATTATCCGAGGTTATACTTCTTGTTGGGTGCTCACAGCTTTATTACACGAGGCTATACTGACAGAACACTACACAGGTCTCTTGGTATTTTATACATGCTTTGATACCTGTGAACATAGCCTCTTTGTTGTGTTAAAACATGCTGGTATACGTGAGCAATGATACTGGATATGCATCAAAGCATAATTGAAACCCATGTTGTTGTTGTTATTGGTTGAGCGCTAATTGAAACCTATTGTATATTTAGGGGAAACTGATGGAAGTAGACCCATCGGGAATTAAAAAAGTCCACTCATGGATGTCAACCAACAAACTCACACTAAACATAATAAAGACCTACTACATATTATTGGGAAGCAAATCAACAAATGCAATTTAGCTTCAGATAGACAATGTTAACATCAGCAATAAAATGGATAGAAAGTTCCTTGGCCTATATATCTGGTGGGACTCAACTTCAGCACCCACATACAACACATTACCAAAAAAGTCTCAAAAACGGTTGGTATACTCTCTAAAATCAGATATTATGTTCCAAACTCTGCTCTTCTCTCAATATATTACGCGCTAATCTATCCCTGTCTTACATATGGTATCTGTGTATGCAAACCACTTCAAGCCTATCATCACTCAGCAAAAATCTGTATCAGAACAATGATAATTTATACTCTGTTTTTAGACAACTCACAGCCCCACTGTTTTAATCCCTAAACATGCTAAACATAAACTCACTCCACATATTCTTTTGTGCCATTCACATGTACAAAACCCTGTTCTTAGATGCAAACCCTGTTCTGAAACTCTTCCTTAACAGATGTAATAGAACCCATAATCACCACACCAGATATAAATATCTCTTTGATATCCCCAGAGTCAAACTAAATCTGTTTAAACACTGTATGCAAATAAAGGGACCTAGTCTATGGAACTCACTCCCTAACGAATTAAAAAGCTGAGTTGACCAGACCACACACTAGAAGGTGAAGGGACGACGACGTTTCGGTCCGTCCTGGACCATTCTCAAGTCAATTGTGTCACAATCGACTTGAGAATGGTCCAGGACAGACCGAAACGTCGTCGTCCCTTCACCTTCTGTGTGTGGTCTGGTCAACTTACTTTAGCCACGTTATTGTGACTCATCGCCTGCAATTAAAAAGTTGTCTAACCTACCCTCCTTATTCAAAAGTAACACCAAAAAGTAGCTAATTTCATCCTCATAGTTTTCTACCTAGTGCTTTACACTCGCACTGTATCGTGTGCTGCCCCAGAATATATATAAAATAAATAAAATAAATTGTGCTACCCCACAATATAAAATATTGTGGGCTTCCCCCAAAATATGCCTTCAGAGGTCACGACCTCTCCGCAGGGTGCAGTCGCACCTCCACAGATCTCCAGTATCAGCTAATGATACTGGTAATGGCTCCGAAGGACCACCACTTACGGGCTATTCATGCCCGTGCCACCTTTTGGGTGGCTTAACCTTCATAAATCAATCAACCTAAGCCATATAACTTTACCATTGTAATCACCGCCAGAATCTTATATCATGGTTGTTATGAGGAACGCAAATGTTACTACAATGTACCTAGAAATAATCCTCAAATTATGCTACAATGTAGCTGTCGATAATCCTCAAATTTTTACTAAAATAAACCTGCTAATTTTCTTCAAGTTTTCTTACAATGTATCTGTTAACTTTGTTAAATTTTACTACAAATTACCTACTTAAAATTATCTGATAGATTAAGGAGCTGCCCAAAATGCTATGCGTGTTAGTGGCTTTACAAGAATGTATAAACATCAATGCTGTGTTCTCTCATAAACCCATTGTACCTTCTTGTATATCAATAAATAAATAAATAAATAAATAAATAAATAAATATGTCAATACTAAAATATTTTATGTCAGTATCAAGAAATGTTGGCTGGGAACATTTTATATATATACTAGAATTTTGTTTACACATTATGAACATCTTATTAATTTCTTATATAATTACAGATTGTCTCGGGCTCTTGATAATGCATTTATTTATTTAATTACCCATTATTGGATATATGAAAGGTTAGGAAATCTTGTTTCTGCTCTGTGAGTTTATCGGGACTATAGAATAATATTACTTATCGTATGACAAACACGTCTTGTTATGAATAAAAGTATTATATTGCAGACATTTTGAACTTTTATACATTGTTGTCTGGTGGCAAAGATCCCTTCATGTTATATGTACCATCTCTGGCGAGGTTGTGGCCGACGTGAATATAATATTTACACACCAAAATTGTTACAGAAATAAGTACAATGTGCTTTGTTGTGAATATTTAAATAAAATAATAAAAATAGAGATGTCCATACTCCCTAGTATGGGTATAAAGACCTATGGGATACCAAAAAATGAACTTTTATAATGTTCTTGTTTTAATATTTTACTCCAGACCTCTGCTGGGAAACGATATTTTAGCAAGTATTGTTAATTTTCAGTTTATTTCAAACGTATTTACTTATTTACTAAAGTATTTTGTAGCTAAATAAAAAAATATATAATATGAGTGGTTGATGGGTCGGGCTCGTGGCGGCGCCACCGTTCTTCCTCTCCGCCATCACTGGTGTACACGAACGGTAAGTACCACCTCTCTGTCTCTGTCTGGCCTCTTGCCCCGGCCTCCGCCACCCCCTCGCCCTCCCCGTGGTGTGCCACTGCTGAGGTAAGTGTAAGGCGTGTGCTGGGTGAGTGGTGAAGGTGTTGAGTGTGAGGGAGGCGGTGAGTGTGAGTGTAAACACAGGGGCCACACGTGGTGGTGGCCGCCACCTCTAGGGTCCTTCCCTAGACTCGTGCCCCTCGCTCCCGGTACTCTCCCTGCCTCTGTCTCGGGGCACCTGAGAGGTGTGCACCCCCACCTGGGGTGTCTTGAGGCTGTTGTGGCCAGCAGGGAGCACTGACGTGGGTCACCATGTGGGCTGAGCTCACACGTGTATACAAAGCCTGGCTCTTACACCCATATGCATATGTATACACACTGTATACAGACAGTATACACGCTGTATACGGAGATATTTTGGGCTGTGTGGGGGTTGGTGGGGGGGGGGTGAGGTTTAGGTTAGCTTTTTGTCTTGTGAATGGTGGGATTTGCCCTCAGTAACACATGAAGTTAATTCTTACAATATTGTGCTTCATATTTATATATGTATATTATGGTGCTTGGCATTATAGTCTCGTATACCCATTATTATAGACTATATTATATGCAATTTGTTACTGGGCTTAAATGCTGTAGTTCCCCCCCTTCTCCTGCACATATTATCGTTAAATTAATTGGTATCTTATCAAAGGTTGTTTTAGTATTGTTAAACTGTGTGTGATGGGTTAGGGTTGGGTAGATTTTACTGTTTGAGAGCAGACTTGGGTGTGAAGTTAGTGGCTAAACATGTATTTATGAGACCATATTGAGGCTGTACGATGTTGTCAAAGCTGTGTCTCGGGGCGTGAAGTGATGTCTATTGTAGGTGTGAACAGTATAGCCAGGGAGGCGAGTGAGTGGTAAGTGAAGAAGTGGACTTGGAATGGCTGGTGTGCCTGTATGGCTGGTGTGCCTGTATGGCTGGTGTGCCTGTATGGCTGGTGTGCCTGTATGGCTGGTGTGCCTGTATGGCTGGTGTACCTGTGTGGCTGGTGTGCCTGTATGGCTGGTGTACCTGTGTGGCTGGTGTACCTGTGTGGCTGGTGTGCCTGTATGGCTGGTGTGCCTGTATGGCTGGTGTGCCTGTATGGCTGGTGTGCCTGTATGGCTGGTGTACCTGTATGGCTGGTGTACCTGTATGGCTGGTGTACCTGTATGGCTGGTGTGCCTGTATGGCTGGTGTGCCTGTATGGCTGGTGTACCTGTATGGCTGGTGTACCTGTGTGGCTGGTGTGCCTGTATGGCTGGTGTACCTGTGTGGCTGGTGTACCTGTGTGGCTGGTGTGCCTGTATGGCTGGTGTGCCTGTATGGCTGGTGTGCCTGTATGGCTGGTGTGCCTGTATGGCTGGTGTACCTGTATGGCTGGTGTACCTGTATGGCTGGTGTACCTGTATGGCTGGTGTGCCTGTATGGCTGGTGTGCCTGTATGGCTGGTGTGCCTGTATGGCTGGTGTGCCTGTATGGCTGGTGTGCCTGTGTGGCTGGTGTGCCTGTGTGGCTGGTGTGCCTGTGTGGCTGGTGTGCCTGTGTGGCTGGTGTGCCTGTGTGGCTGGTGTGCCTGTGTGGCTGGTGTGCCTGTGTGGCTGGTGTGCCTGTGTGGCTGGTGTGCCTGTGTGGCTGGTGTGCCTGTGTGGCTGGTGTGCCTGTGTGGCTGGTGTGCCTGTGTGGCTGGTGTGCCTGTGTGGCTGGTGTGCCTGTGTGGCTGGTGTGCCTGTGTGGCTGGTGTGCCTGTGTGGCTGGTGTGCCTGTGTGGCTGGTGTGCCTGTGTGGCTGGTGTGCCTGTGTGGCTGGTGTGCCTGTGTGGCTGGTGTGCCCGTGAGGCTGGTGTGCCCGTGTGGCTGGTGTGCCCGTGTGGCTGGTGTACCCGTGTGGCTGGTGTACCCGTGTGGCTGGTGTACCCGTGTGGCTGGTGTACCCGTGTGGCTGGTGAGTGTGGCACACTCAACCACTTGGACTGGACGGTAGAGTGCTGGTCTTCCTGCATGCAGGTCACCATTCAACTCCCCAACTGTCCAAGTGGTTAGGCACCATTCCTTTACCAGTCCCATAGTAAATATCCTTAGAGTAAATATCCCATAGTAAATATCCATATTTACCAGTAAATATGAAGCACATTGTGTTGTAAGAATTGAGCACCTCCCATCCCAAATCGTTACCTGGTTGTTACCTGGTTGATTTTCACGTCCCTTCAAAGGGATGAACCGTATGCAAGCTCTACAGGTCCAAGCTCCACGTACCAAACACTGGCATATTCCTGTGGTCGGTCAGTTTTCATCAGCCTCTGATATTCAACGTTATTTTCACATCCCTTCAAAGTGCTACTGTATTATCATAATGGCTTAGCACTTTTGTCTGATAATTACCTTACTTGAATGTGGCTCCTCCACAGTACAGAATTTTAAAACACAACCTAATTCAACCTAAATAAAAAAGTAAAATGGAATGCTATATTGTTTTTAGCTATTAAGTTTCTGGAATACCCTGTAGTATCCATTTACGTATTTTTCAAGTTCAATTTAAAAAATGACTAGTCTACTGTAGATGTTCGTGCACTTGTGGAAGTTAATGGGGTCCAGCTTTAAGGCATGTGCCAAGGATCCAGCCACTCGCTCACATCGTCAGGTAGTTATCATCTGCTTGTAAAGATCATCATGGGTATTGACATGTATTACTAGATGTTCCTGAGAGAATATTGTAGCCGAACGCTGGAATTGAACTCGCATACCTGAACTGATGCATCATGTTTTTGTGATTTCATTGTGTATTATATACTCTCTTCTTGAGGTTATCTTGATGATTTCGGGGCTTTGGTGTCCCCGTGGCCCGGTCCTCGACCAGGCCTCCACCCCCAGGAAGCAGCCTGTGACAGCTGACTAACACCCAGATACCTATTTTACTGCTAGGTAGTAGGGGCATAGGGTGAAAGAAACTGCCCATTGTTTCTCGCCGGCACCCAGGATCACAGTCCAGTGTGCTGTCCGCTCGGCCGACCGGCTACCTAATACTCTACTGTATTATTCATCTCCCTCACCTCAACACTCTTGCATCACATTTTTTATTAATACCTGCAGGTCCGGCCTCCAAGTACCAAACACTGGCATATTACTGTGTTAGGCCATTTTCATCAGCCTCTCTGATATTCAATTACTTTATACAGTATCTGAAGCCATTATAAGTCAAGCTTGGATATTTAGGTAAAAGTTGCAATGCAACGTTCTTTTGTGGCTGTAGGTGGCTGTAGTCTCGGAGGTTTTGTGGCACTAATTTCCAAACCACTGTAGGTGTCTGCCAGTGTTAAACACTTGAAGGATCATAGGATTAAGAGACACTTATTAATCATTAAGGGTGATTTGTCTGCTGGACAATCCCCAGCTCTTGAAAAACTATACTGTAGTACTCTTGGTGTAGTATAGTCTCGTTACTGAACAAGTGGTTAGTGCTCGTACTGAGTACTGTTTGGTTGTGGCCATGACTACTGTTAATAAGTAATAGTGCTGTCTTAGACATAACAACATAAAAACTCACCTGTGTATTTGAATTTTATGTAAATATTTACACCAAATTTTTTGCACTCCCGAGTGCTTTGTCAAGGTCCGAGTGTGTGGTTTGGATGATTGTGGTTAGGACTAGTTGTTAGAACAAGACATGCACCTCTGACTAATCCTTACTACAATCGGCCTAAACACGCACTCGGACCTTGACAAAGCACTCGGGAGTGCAAAAGATTTGGTGTAAATCGTGACATAAAATTCACAAATACATTACTTTCAGATAAAAACCCACAAATTTAGACAGAATGGAAGCAAAGCATCTATGGGATGAAATATCTAGAGCATCTAGATCTAACAGTATTTATGTCATGGGTGACTTTAATTTTAGCGGAATAAACTGGTTGAACAAAACAGGGAATAGTGAAGCAGAAGATTTTCTAGAATTAATTGACGATTGCTTTCTTACGCAACACATTAAGGAACCAACACGGGAAAATAATATTTTAGATTTAGTGTTAACTAACAGGGAAACGCAAATTAATGACATCGAAATAGGGAGTGAGCTAGGGAGCAGTGATCACAAAGAAATCAGATTTAGCATAGAATGGAATAGACCAGTAGGAGAAAATTCTGTTAAAGTGCCAGATTTTCGAAAAGCTGATTTTAATAGCCTAAGAAATTTTTTGGGTCAAATTGATTGGAAAGGCTTGGGTATGGGGTGTGGGCCGGTCTTGGAGCGAGACATGAACCCAGCGATAGGTGACTTAAATGGGGATTTCGATGTGGATTCAATATATAACTTATTTAAGAATATTCTAAACAAAGCACAGGAACGTAGTATACCATACAAATTGAATAGATCGTATACTAATGACCCAAAGTGGATAACAAAGAATTTGAAGAACCTTATAGGTAAAAAGAGAGCTTGGTACAAAAGGATTAAAAATGGGGAGGTCACTTTAGAACAGGAATTCGTACAACTGGTTAGAAATGTTAAAAAAGAGATAAGGAAAGCAAAAAGAAACTATGAAGTTCGCATAGCAGGGCAAGCAAAGACAAATCCTAAAGGGTTTTTTCAGTTATATCGTACTAAGACTAGGGAAAGGATAGGTCCATTAAAAACTGAGACAGGTCAAATAACAGATAGTGATGAAGAGATGAGTAGTATTTTTAATAAATATTTTGTATCTGTATTTACTAAAGAGGAACTTAACAATATGCCTTCAGCCGAACAAGTCTATGTGGGTGGGGACGAGGACAGGTTGACGAGTTTAGCAGTTACCAGGGAGGATGTTCTTAAACAAATAGTAAAACTCAAACCAAACAAATCCCCAGGGCCGGATGAAGTGTTTGCTAGGGTGCTTAAAGAATGCAAAGAGGAGCTTTGTGACCCACTGTCAACCATATTTAATAAATCAATAGAGTCAGGCAGAGTGCCAGAGTTTTGGAAAGTTGCTAATGTGATACCAGTTTTTAAGAAAGGAGATAGATCACTTGCGTCTAACTATCGACCAATTAGCCTAACGTCTATTGTGGGAAAGTTACTCGAATCTATAATAGCAAATAAAATTCGTCTTCATCTTGAAAAACATAAATTAATAATTGAGTCGCAACATGGTTTTATAAATGGCCGTTCATGTTTAACAAATTTGTTATCTTTTTATTCTAGCATTGTTGAGGCAGTTGATAGTGGTAAGGATTGCGATGTTGTATACCTTGACTTTAGCAAAGCTTTTGATACAGTGCCACATGAAAGACTGATTAAAAAAATAGAGTCTCATGGTATTGGGGGTGCTATATTAAGCTGGATTAGGGCATGGCTATACCAAAGGAAACAGAGAGTTAGTATAAATGGAATCAAGTCAGAGTGGGAAAATGTTGTAAGTGGAGTGCCTCAAGGCTCTGTCCTGGGACCTCTGTTGTTTATAATATATATAAATGATTTAGATTCAGGTTTGAGTAGCAACATTTGCAAATTTGCCGATGATACGAAAATCGGTAGGGAAATTAATTCGGAGGAGGACTCACTATCACTTCAAGTTGATCTAGATAGGGTTTTGAAATGGTCAAAGGATTGGCAGATGCAGTTTAATGCTGATAAATGTAAAGTTCTGAGGTTAGGTAATGATGATAGAGTTACAAGATACAAGCTAGATGGTGTTGTGATTGCGAAGTCGGATTGCGAAAGGGATCTGGGAGTTATGATTAGTAAGAATTTAAAACAAAAGGATCAATGCATAAATGTTCGTAATAAGGCAAATCGGACACTTGGATTTATTAATCGCAGCGTTAGTAACAAGACACCTGGTGTGGTTCTCAAGCTATATCTTGCTCTAGTTAGGCCCCATTTAGATTATGCAGTTCAGTTTTGGTCGCCATATTATAGAATGGATATAAATTCACTTGAACGTGTCCAGCGTAGGATGACTAAGTTAATTCCCCAAATTAGAAATCTTTCATATGAAGAAAGATTAACAAAGCTTAAGTTGCATTCACTGGAAAGGCGAAGAGTTAGGGGTGACATGATAGAGGTTTACAAGTGGATGAATGGACATAACCGGGGGGATATTAATAGGGTATTAAAAGTATCAACACAGGACAGAACACGAAACAATGGATATAAATTGGATAAGTTTAGATTTAGGAAAGACTTGGGTAAATACTGGTTCAGTAACAGGGTTGTTGATTTGTGGAACCAATTGCCGCGTAACATTGTGGAGGTGGGGTCCCTCGATTGTTTCAAGCACGGGTTGGACAAGTATATGAGTGGGATTGGGTGGTTATAGAATAGGAGCTGCCTCGTATGGGCCAATAGGCCTTCTGCAGTTACCTTTGTTCTTATGTTCTTATGTTCTTATGTTATGTTAATGTTAAGGATTCCTACATGAAAGTACTAAGAGACATGTTTTCAGGCACATGTCTGAACATGTCTAATATAGTATTTAAAAGGTAATATTTGACAAAAAAAAAAAATGGTCAGTGTATGTATGTATGCCTCAGTGGTCAGTGTATGTATGAAGGGAGCCGGTCGGCCGAGCGGACAGCACGCTGGACTTGTGATCCTGTGGTCCTGGGTTCGATCCCAGGCACCGGCGAGAAACAATGGGCAGAGTTTCTTTCACCCTATGCCCCTGTTACCTAGCAGTAAAATAGGTACCTGGGTGTTAGTCAGCTGTCACGGGCTGCTTCCTGGGGGTGGAGGCCTGGTCGAGGACCGGGCCGCGGGGACACTAAAGCCCCAAAATCATCTCAAGATAACCTCAAGAAGATGCCTCAACAAAATTTTTAAATTAAATTTTTTAAATTTTGCCCCGAGGGGCAAGTTTATTGGGCTGCACCACTCATCTTGTGAGTGGACATACCGCCATAGCAGCATGTACAACACTCCCCAATAGGAAGAAAACCCGCTGGGTTGTTCATCCTGTCACTTGTACCCAGACAAGTGACAGGATGTCAACAAAATTGACACTTAAAGCTACTACCCATAAAATGTTGCCTACATGCTTGTCTAGAAGTATTAGCAATAACATGTCATCCTTCAGCCTTGTCTTGCTATTGACGTAAACCCACTTGAACATGTAATGCATGGACATGATGAAAAAAATTGGGGAAAGTCACCTTCTGGGAGGGTTAAATTTTTTTGTAATCTTGAAAGGTAAATGAGCGAAGGGGGGTGGGGGTGCTTAATGTAAGAAAGAGTACAGTATACAAATGGCTGAAAATGTACATGATAGTTATGTGTGAATAGTTTCAAGCTTAACAATCCAATGTAGAACAAAATGAGATACTTTCTTGCTCATAATGTAGTCATCAGCAGATAAGATTGTCATAAATGCCAAAACATGGCTGCATTTTGAATTGCAACAAGGTAAAATAATAAGGAAAATTAACAGACCATTTGACAAGACTCGGGCTTCCTGTCTTCGAGGACATGACCCGAGTGAGTGAGTGACCCCTCGGGTAAATTTGGGTATTAAATTTCATCACAAAATGAACCAAAATAGATATAAATTGGATTATAATAAATTCAGAATGCCTTGGTAAATGCAGGTTGATCATATGTATTTATTGGGTAATGTAATTGCAGTTGTATTGGTGGAGTGTTTAAAGTGTAGGTTAGATATACAGTATATCCTGAGTGGTAGTGTGAATAGTTGCCTTTGCTTGGGCCAATCTTTAATTTCCAATCTTGCGTGAGTAAGAAGGTTGATGGTGTTGAAGATTGTTGTTGTTCCCGTGGTCTTGTTTCAGGAGTATGTTGTTCCATGTGGTCTTGTTTCAGGAGTATGTTGTTCCTGTGGTCTTGTTTCAGGAGTATGTTGTTCCCGTGGTCTTGTTTCAGGAGTATGTTGTTCCTGTGGTCTTGTTTCAGGAGTATGTTGTTCCTGTGGTCTTGTTTCAGGAGTATGTTGTTCCTGTGGTCTTGTTTCAGGAGTATGTTGTTCCTGTGGTCTTGTTTCAGGAGTATGTTGTTCCTGTGGTCTTGTTTCAGGAGTATGTTGTTCCTGTGGTCTTGTTTCAGGAGTATGTTGTTCCTGTGGTCTTGTTTCAGGAGTATGTTGTTCCTGTGGTCTTGTTTCAGGAGTATGTTGTTCCTGTGGTCTTGTTTCAGGAGTATGTTGTTCCTGTGGTCTTGTTTCAGGAGTATGTTGTTCCTGTGGTCTTGTTTCAGGAGTATGTTGTTCCTGTGGTCTTGTTTCAGGAGTATGTTGTTCCTGTGGTCTTGTTTCAGGAGTATGTTGTTCCCGTGGTCTTGTTTCAGGAGTATGTTGTTCCTGTGGTCTTGTTTCAGGAGTATGTTGTTCCTGTGGTCTTGTTTCAGGAGTATGTTGTTCCATGTGGCTTTTTACTGTCAATCCTATACAATGGGATTCTAGTCAAAATGATAGCAATTTTGCAGATCCTTAGTACAGTATTGCCAAAGTTATTCAATTTGGTTGGTAGCTTGTTATAATGGCTGAAAATTTTAAGTGATTCTGGTATTAATGTGTGTAAAAATGTGGTTGAACTAATAAGTTGTTTAAAAAATAATGAAACTATTAACAAGCAAGTTTATCGGTTACAAAAAAAAATGTTTGACCCGCTCAAGAATCTCCTCTGTAATGCAAGCACTTGTCGATACTGTGTGCCAAACCCTCTTATTTAAACAAAGTATTTTGAATACTGGGGTCCAGGCTGAAGCTTAAAAACTTAAACATGACAATACAAATAGTCTTGGGTTCCGGTCACATTTGTTCTCGACTCACAATTGAACATGACAATACAAATAGTCTTGTTCTGGTCACATTTGTTCTCGACTCACAATTGAACATGACAATACAAATAGTCTTGGGTTCTGGTCAGATTTGTTCTCGACTCACAATTGAGAATTCCGGTTTCGTTCTAGACTCAATTGAGAATTTTGGGTTCGAGTCCCGGGTGGGACAGAACTGATTACGTGCATTTCCTATCACGTAATGTGCCTGTTCACCTAGCAGCAAGTAGGTATCCAGGAGTTAGCTTGTTGTGGGGTTGCATCCTGGGGGGGGGGCATTGATGTAAGCCTAACATGGGTAAATACACTGGATGTCTGTCCCCCCTGATGCAATGAATTATTATTTAAATATGAAACTTAAAAAAATGTATGCCTCATACTGAGATAGTTTTCCAAGAAATGCTAATGTGTTTCTGATGTATAGATAAATCATTGATCCTAGATGGCTTAAGATTTTATTAAATATTGTCATTTCCATCGAGCAAAAAATTAAGCGTTTCTGATGTGTGTACCGTGTGTCCTCCCTGCCAGGAGCAGTGGTTAAGGGGGGAGGGGGGGGGGGGCAGAATGCTTACCTTTAACTGGTAATTATTTCAAGTGGGCAGCTGTTTCGTGTATTTAACATTTCGACATCAAATTGTTTGCATGAGATTGTCATGGTACAGTACAGATAAAATTATTTAAATATACAGTACAGTAAATATATTTTTTGGAGAAATTTGAAATGGAGCTGCAATGAGCTGCTTCTGGCATATTGAATGCAAATACTGTACTGCATTTATAAATATCTAAAGTTTGTGAGACCATGAAAATGCACAATACATAGTACTGTATTGTGCAGATACTATACTGCACAATACTATGTATTGTGCAGTATAGTATACCTGTACTGTAGTTATAATTTTTGCACCGACATTCCAACCTAACCTTTTGAAATGATAGTATTTATAGTAACTTTGTTTGAAGGTAGCATTATATAGTGATGGACCACCAAAAAGTTCCTTTTTGGCCTTTTAATTTTAGTCTTGAAAAATGAAGCCAAAATCTTAACCATTCCTAGGCCTAATATAGCACATATGTACTATATTAGGTACAAGATGTGCGCATTAGACCCAAGATTGCTAGGAGAGGTTAGGTTCTATATTATGCTTTTAAGTTTTCCATTTGGCTATACTCAATACTGTAATCCTAAAGTCCGACATTTTTGGTGATCCATCACTACATGTTGGTACCTTTGATCAAGTAGTTACGATGAGTATTATCATTTGAGGAGGATGGGCTGGCATATTCTCACACCATACGTCCTAGCGCGCAGGACTCGTAATTCTGTGGCGCGGGTTCGATTCCCGCACGAGGCAGAAACAAATGGGCAAAGTTTCTTTCACCCTGAATGCCCGTTACCTAGCAGTAAATAGGTACCTGGGAGTTAGTCAGCTGTCACGGGCTGCTTCCTGGGGGTGGAGGCCTGGTCGAGGACCGGGCCGCGGGGACACTAAAAAGCCCCGAAATCATCTCAAGATGAGCTCAAGATAACCATCTCTCTTCTTTGGCACAAATAAAAGGAAGATGTATAACGTGAACTTCCAAATTGGACATTCCAATCCCCCCCCCCCTCTCCCCAACCCCAAATGGGATTTAGTCGATCAGTTTGAACAGCGTTGTACATGGGTTCTGTATTTTATTCCTTTTGGAGCCTTTTTCTGCTGTGGAATTGGGTTCATTGAATAGTTGAATTGGGGCTTTTAAAGTATCTCTTGCTAAAAGATAGGAGATGCAATGTGTTCTTCATTTGTGGCTAAGCCATTGTCCTCACTTTGATTCCTTTTTGAGTTTGACTGGAATTTGTAGACCTAATTAAAATAAATTAATGGGGCACGATATACTATTTATTATGCATCTTAAAATTGTGAAGTCTTGAGGTCAGTCAGGGTTGGCATGGTAGCTACCCACTCACCCACCTGGGCTGGAATTTTTTAGTTAAAAACCTAAGAAAGATTCTTTAACATGACTCAACTTTTATTTTATTTTATTAAATAGATTAAAACTAATGTCCCACTGCTCAGTACACTACATGGACAGGCTAAAGGTGTATGAACCTGTAAACCGAATTATCCTAGTATACAGTACTGTATTAGTAAATATAAAGCAAGTGGGATACATTTTAATTCTGTATAGTGTTTTGGTACATTGTTAATGGCTGTGCTAATGTAAACTATTTGTATGTTTTTGGGTAAAGTTTAGGAAGTTGTGGTGGTGTGCCGTGATTGTCCCAGGTCACATGGGTTAAGACGTGGTGGTGTGCCGTGATTGTCCCAGGTCACATGGGTTAAGACGTGGTGGTGTGCCGTGATTGTCCCAGGTCACATGGGTTAAGACGTGGTGGTGTGCCGTGATTGTCCCAGGTCACATGGGTTAAGACGTGGTGGTGTGCCGTGATTGTCCCAGGTCACATGGGTTAAGACGTGGTGGTGTGCCGTGATTGTCCCAGGTAACATGGGTTAAGACGTGGTGGTGGCTGACTGACTTGGTGGTCCGATTAGGTCAAGTTAGGTTATCAATTGTTGCACGGATGTTAAATTATTAAAGAATTCTGATAGGTTCATTAGGTAGGCATTTTTTTGTTTACTAAACCCATCCCGATTGTTAGTTTAGTTTTGGTCCTCGATTGAAATTTTGACTTTAATCGTTTCCAACACATTAGGAACTAATAGAATTTTGTTTAATGAACTAATGAATAGTATTGCACAGATCTCCAGATAATCTGGAAGAACGGTGTACTTTTAAATTATTTAATGTTGATTTTATTTGTATCCTAACATTGTTTTATTTTACAGGCAAAATGGCAATTCGTCCACTTAAAAAACCCAAGATTGTCAAGAAGCGGGTAAAGAAATTTATCCGCCACCAAAGTGATCGCTATGTTAAGCTGAGGGTGAGTAATCATTCGCTATGTTAAACTGAGGGTGAGTAATCATTCGCTATGTTAAGCTGAGGGTGAGTAATCATTCGCTATGTTAAGCTGAGGGTGAGTAATCGGTAATCTTGCTCAGAATTTCTTCTTTTCACTATTAGCACATGTGATGATCAGGAGTCAATTGTACACCTGAATGTTGCCATCCAGCTTTAATAAACTGTTCACTACATACTATCTGATCTGTACATCCATAGTATATATGGCAGTACAGAAAATAACACTGGCAGTCACTGGCACAAGGGTAAAATACTCACCCAGCACTTTGACCTGGGTTTGTATCCCGGCCGGGGAGGATTGACTAGGCGCCTGTCCTTAACTGTAGCCTCTGTTCACCCAGCAGTGAATGGGTACCTTGGTTGATAAATAATTTGATAGGGTCATATTCTGGGGAAAAAAATAGGATTAAGGACCTGCCCGAAATGCTATGCGTGCTAGTGGCTTTGCAAGAATGTGAGAACTCTTGTACAGTATATAAATATATAAAAAGATACCAGTTGCCATTAACCCTTCTTGCAATATGCTCGGTAGGTTTACAGTAAGCTGGTTTTGGGGGGAGGGGCCAGGGGGGGGGGTTGCTGTTACCCCATGCTTCCCTAGGACCTCCTATCTTGAGCTCATCTTGAGATGATTTCGGGGCTTTTTAGTGTCCCCGCGGCCCGGTCCTCGACCAGGCCTCCACCCCCAGGAAGCAGCCCGTGACAGCTGACTAACACCCAGGTACCTATTTTACTGCTAGGTAACGGGCATAGGGTGAAAGAAACTCTGCCCATTGTTTCTCGCCGGCGCCCGGGATCGACCCCGGGACCACAGGATCACAAGTCCAGCGTGCTGTCCGCTCGGCCGACCGGCTCCTAGTCTTATGTTGCAGCCAGTACTCTTCAAGGCTCTTCTCTCTCTCATGGATGATATTGTTTTCTTTAAATTTGTAGTTTACCAGAATGTTACCTTTGCTAGCAGCAGGAGTATAAGGCTCTGTTCTCAGTGTCAACACTTTAGTGTAGACTATTGAGTGCTGTTATATATGCTCTAGGTAACTTTACACTCTACAGTGCTCCTTCAAATCTGCACCTCAATATAACGGATACCTCTTAAGTGGACCCAGTTTGCCCACTTGATCCATTTAAATTTTGTATGTCAGAAAAATGTCCATATTTTGTATAAGTATGGACTTCTCACAAAATGTGGTAACTAGGCAAATTTATTTCCTGCAGATCATATTTTCCCCAATTGTTTATATTATGCTTTGTATATGATCACTGGAGGTGCTTAAAAGTATTAATTGGAACAGGTTCTGAAGATATAACATGTGAATGTGATCATAAAATTTAGTGGGGGGAGGGGTTATCTTGAGATTCTTGAGGTTATCTTGAGATGATTTCGGGGCTTTAGTGTCCCCGCGGCCCGGTCCTCGACCAGGCCTCCACCCCCAGGAAGCAGCCCGTGACAGCTGACTAACACCCAGGTACCTATTTTACTGCTAGGTAACAGGGGCATAGGGTGAAAGAAACTTTGCCCAGTGTTTCTCGCCGGCGCCTGGGATCGAACCCAGGACCACAGGATCACAAGTCCCGCGTGCTGTCCGCTCGGCCGACCGGCACCCTCCGGGGTGGTGATAAAAGGATGAAAGAAGTTTGAGAAAAATCAAACGAGTTTTCCTTGCGAGTTATATTATCCCATATATCCGTAAATTGTGTTAATATAGGGTTAACCTTAAACAGTTTGAGGTGTGGAAATCTCAATGGACCTATTTTTAGAGGAAATCAGATGACTGGTTTTCATTTAGTTTTGTTGAAGTTTTGTAGAGTGTAAACTGAGCCAGTTGACAACATGGGATGCCCATTAGGCTTAGTTACAACCAAATTTTATGGTTCTTTTTAAGTTTTCACTAAAAATATGAAAACTTTGGTTATAACCAAAAAATTATATTTTTTCAGTGTGAATTTCATGCAAATTTGGGTAGTCTCGAGTGATATTCCAGATTTTTACGAGTCCTCTTTTTAAATGGTACTGTTCCAGAGTATGCATCTCTTGTCCAGTTACTTGTCGAGTGCAGTTAATGAAGTATTTGATGTTTGTGAACACACATTTTTGGTGCTCCATGGAGCGAGTTGTCATTTTTGGCAGGAGGACATGTGCAGTCCCAGGGTGACACAGGTGGCAAGGTCTCTATTCATTCTGGCCTTGCAGGCAAATAGTGGCAGTGTCTGGCTATCCTCCTTGGCACCCTTGGCTAACTGCTGCTAGGTGGCACTGTCAGTTTTGTTCTACATTCAGTTAGCAAACTGGGACTGGATTTTCAGTTGAAATTATTATATGATTTCATCATCATGAACTTGTCTTTGGGCTGCAATGCTTACATGGTTTTGTATAGGGTTTATCTATTTATAGCCCAGAGGCCAGATTCACGAAGCAGTTATGTAATTACTTACGAACGTGTACATCTTTCCTCAATCTTTGACGGCTTGGGTTTCATTTATTAAGCCGTTTACAAGCATGAAAAGTTCACAATCAACTGTTGTTGTTATAAACAGCCTCCTGGTGCTTCGGAACTCATTAGCTGATTAATAATTGTAAACAAAGCCGATTGAGAAGATGTACACGTTTGTAAGTGCTGGCGTAAATGCTTTGTGAATCTGGCCCCCCTGATGCCTTTCTTCCTCTCGGCTCCCCATAAGAGGGTGGCCACAGATGGTTTCTCTAGGAGGCTTTATCACCTCAGACAAGTCTCCCCTCCCCCAAACGTCAAGTCATATTGTTCCACTCCTGCCTTGAAAATGTTGGCTTCACATTGTGAGAAACTGGAAGCCTGTTTAGGCTGATTGAGGTTTCCCTATGCTTCTAGGTTGACTACTGACCTTCCCCAGGATGCAACTTATAATCAAATGTAGGAAATACCCACACCAGGTAAATGCTGGTGGTATGAGAGAGGTGCGGTGTGCGAGAGGGTGTAGAAGCTACCAGTAAGAGTACCTAAGAGTACCTAAGAGTAGTTGTAGGATCAGAGAGAGCTAAGCTCGTAGTGTCCTGTCTTCCCAGTACTGTCGAATGATGCTTTGAAACTTGACTGTTTTGGCTTTCAATGCCACCTCATTTAGCTTGTTCCAATCGTCTACCACTCTTGTTTGCAAAAGTAAACTTTCTAATATTGGCTTGAAACTGTGTCCTCTTCGTGAAGTTGCTAGTTTCAGGAATTTGTCAATTCCTGTTAGTATTTTGTTAGTGGTGAGCATATCTTCTCTTTTTTTTTTATTCTATCTTCTAGTTCTGGCATGTTTAACGCCTCCAGTCGCTCTCCTCATAACTTTGATTTTCAGTTCCGGAAGCCATTTTGAAGCATGTGTTGCACTTTTTCCACTTTATTGATGTGCTTCTTGAGAGTTGGGCACCGTGCAACTGCTGCATATTCCAACTTAAGTCTCACAAAAGTCATGAACAGTTTCTTTAGTATTTCACCATCAATATAATTAAAAGCAAGTCTGAAGTTGGAAAGCGACCCATACGTTCCTCTCACAATGTTCTTTGTGTTCCTCTTTCCTTATGGATGAAATATTTTGTCTTCCATGTCAGAAGTCTCCTTGTCACCCCTCCAGCATATCCCAGTTTCCAGAACATGTGGAAATTAGTGTGTGGGATTGTTTGGCTTTCCTGCACTGCTTATTGGGACTAAGTGGTCCCGGGATGGAGTGACCCTCTTGGTGCACTTGTTAATTAAGCAAGCAAGGCCTGAGCAGGCTCCCACACTCCCAAAATGATGAACACCTTTAAGGGTGGGGAGGAGGGGCGGCTCGGCCGGGAGCCGGTTGGCCGAGCGGACAGCACGCTGGACTTGTGATCCTGTGGTCCCGGGTTCGATCCCGAGCGCCGGTGAGAAACAATGGGCAGTTTCTTTCTCCCTATGCCCCTGTTACCTAGCAGTAAAATAGGTACCTGGGTGTTAATCAGCTGTCACGGGCTGCTTCCTGGGGGTGGAGGCCTGGTCGAGGACTGGGCCGCGGGGACACTAAAGCCCTATAATCATCTCAAGATAACCTCAAGGAAGGGGGTCCTACCTGGTGAGCACTGCAGGAATGACGGCGGGTTCTCCTTGCTACACAACAATTACTACTTTACTAGTGCTAGTTAGTGCACATTTTATTTTTAAAAGTATTCACACAAAATAAACTTACTGAATCAATCAAATCGTAAATTTAAAAAATATACTGTACAATGAAAGAAAAGTTGAGGAATAAATTGAAAATCAGAACATTTGGGCAGTGTATATGGAGGACCATCTGCTTCCCACCACAGCCTGGGCTTGATGGGAAGCCTCCACCAGGCTTCCTGTGAGCCTGGTGGATAGCGCGCACGACTCGTAATTCTGTGGCACGGGTTTAATTCCCGCACAAGGCAGAAACAAATGGGCAAAGTTTCTTTCACCCTGAATGTCCGTTACCTAGCAGTAAATACGTACCTGGGAGTTAGTCAGCTGTCACGGGCTGCTTCCTGGGGTGTGTGTGGTGTGGAGGAAAAAAAAAAAGTTAGTAAACAGTTGATTGACAGTCAAGAGGCGGGCCGAAAGAGCAAAGCTCAACCCCCGCAAAACACAACTAGGTGAATACACCATAGGCTGAGGTGGAGTTAGGTAGGGGGGGGCGTACCCAGGCAGTCTAGCAACTGGCTGGGCCTACAGTAAAGTCATGCCTGCAAATGCACGTTGTATCATTTGCACAAAAGTGCAACAAGAATCTTTATTTTGATGAAGAAAATACTAACAATCTTGTACAAATTAAATATTTGGCTTGTACTGCATTTTTCTTTTAACTGGACTTGATCCTATTGTGTTGAGCCATTAGCAGTAGTGGTTATATTGTGTGCCTGATTATACTGTTCAAACTGCACAGAACTAAGTATTGAGGATAAGAAAGCTACTTGGCTTCACAGGGGAAAGAGAAAGGATTTCTTTTTTAATAACGTTCAGAAGTTACTGTACAGTATAATTTTTATTTATACACGTACAGTAGTCTTATTTTATTGCATGGAAAAATCTTGATGCAAGGGGCGATAACAGAAGAACTGACATCAACAGATACATCTGCACAAGGAAGGGAACAAAGCATTGGCTAAAAATAGACCAGGCACTAACATCACACAATAAAGGTTTTTGAGTGACCGGGAGTCGGATTTCCAGTTTTCTGGAGAAGAGTGACTTCCACAACACAGGTTAACATGCAGTTAGAGCAGGAAGGTCATGCCTTTAACAGTTACTTGACCACTATGGCAAAATCACAGAAGTGTTAGTGAAAAATAGATTGCAGAAGTAGGGCCTGACAGCTGAGTGGACAGCGCTTCAGATTTGTAGTCCTGAGGTTCCGGGTTCACTTCCGGGTTTGATTCCCGGTGGAGGTGGAAACAAATGGGCAGTGTTTCTTGCACCCTGATGCCCCTGTTAACCTAACAGTAAATAAATACCTGGGAGTTAGACAGCTGCTATGTACTGTCCAATAGACTACGGGCTTATAGGTGTGGTGTGCCACCAATAGCCCTTATAGGCTACAGGCTGCTCCCTGGGAATGTGTAACAAAGAGGAGTTCGACCGGGCCGCGGGGACGCCAAGCCCCGAAATCATCTCGAGATAACCTCAAGATAAGATGCTGTGAACAGGTAAAGTAGGGCGATAGTAAATGAATTTCTTGTCGAACAGTTGGTAAAGAGCAACAGTTGCACTGAATAAAGTCTTAAGCACAGTGAAAAGCACTGTGCCTTAGGGCACAAATATTGCATCACTGCTTTTCTTTAGTCTTATATCAAACAGACAAAAGTACAAATCACAGCTTCATGTCATCCTTTGCAGAGTACACAAATCAACATTGAAATTCCTTCTGTAGAAGACACTGAAAAACTACGAGATGATATTAGTAGTTTTCATTTGGGCAACAGAAAATAAGTTTCCAGGTACATGCATAGGTATGGTAAACATGAAGACCTTAAACAAAATTCAGGGTACAAGACATAAGATCTCATATTTAGGGAGCATAACCAAGCAAATATAGTGTCAGAAAAATGATAGGATTGATTATGAGAACCTTAAAATCTAAGGATCCCGTCAGTGCTCGTAGTATTCAAATCACTTGAGCTGTCCTGCCTTTAGTACAGCTCAATACTATCTTTCCCCTTCAAAGCAGAATAGGTTGCTGAAATAGAGGGACTTCAGAGAACATACATGACAGGCCCTAGTGAGACCGTCAAAGCTCAAAATGTACAGTCTAGAGAGAAGCAAGAGGAGGTATCACAATACAGTTTATATACATGGAATAGTTGAATTTTTCCAATTCCAATAATTCTTATCTGATGGCAACATGTTCATCATTGCCAAGCCATTTTTGCTCACTTGATTGCATGTTTGTTTACTGTACATTTCTTAAATACTGTGAGTTGGGTAAACCAGTAATGAAAATATTGTTAATAGAACCAGTAATATTGCCCAATAATGAAAATAGATAATATACGCCAACTAGCAATAAATGCCTTGTAATTTAACCTTGTGCTCCTCTTGGAGAAGCTGCTGGTGGATAAAAGGTGTTCAACTTGTATCTATAACTAATGAAAAAATTAATGAGGTTGCTCAAGAAAAAATATTTTAACATACCTATCTTTTCATTAACCTAGAAAAACTATCTGGTTTAGATTACTACATTACTATCTGGTGGTAGTAATTTTGTAGTAACGTAATTTTTTTCTAGAGTTTCTTAATGAACTGACTTTGAAACACATTTCCATCAATATTAATAAAATGTATTTGTGTTGCAGCCCAACTGGAGGAAACCGAAGGGTATTGACAACCGTGTGAGGCGGCGCTTCAGAGGGCAGTACCTCATGCCCAATGTTGGTTATGGTTCAGCAGCCAAGACCAAACACATGCTTCCTAATGGCTTCAGAAAGGTCCTCATTCATAATGTTCGTGTAAGTATGGAAAAGCTATTTTTCTGAGCCTGAAGAAATATTGTGATGAAAACCTTATAGGCTAGAGTTCTAAACTCCTGCAGTTGGCGGGGGTGTATGGTGACGTTTATCCTTACTGATAAGACTAAAGCAATGTGTACGTTGTTGTTGAACCAGATTTGTTGTTAATAGGCATTTTTAATTTCCCAGGAACTGGAAGTTCTGATGATGCAAAATCGTACCTTCTGTGCAGAAATTGCCCATGGTGTTTCCTCCCGTAAGCGCAAGGATATCGTTGAGAGGGCAAACCAACTATCAATTCGCCTGACCAATGGATCTGCGAGACTGCGTACTGAAGAATCCACTTAAGATAATAAATTGTGGTTATAATATAGTCTTTCATTTCAAATGCCCCAGAATAGTCTTTATATTTAAATAGTACTTTTATTTGGCACAGTATTTGATGATTTGGGCACTTGTAAGTGATGTAAGGTTTTTGTACTACTCAAGAGGCTCAAAGAGTAATACATATGTACTACACTGGGTAGCAGTTGTGCTGTAGTATGGCAGGATTTATGCCCATGACCTTGATACAGTTGTCGCTGCCATGGAGGAAGAGCAAAACTGGTGCAATATATAGATTTTGCAAAAGCCTTCAGCATATGTGACCTTGGTGCAGGGGGAGCTGGTCGACCGAGCGGACAGCACACTGGACTTGTGATCCTGTGGTCCCGGGCGCCAGCGAGAAACGATGGGCAGAGTTTCTTTAACCTTATGCCCCTGTTACCTAGCAATAAATAGGTACCTGGGAGTCTGCTGTCACTGGCTGCTTTCTGGGGGTGGTGACCTGGTCAAGGACCGGGCCGCGGGGACACTAAAAAAGCCCTGAAATCAACACAAGATAACCTCAAGATGGTGTTCTTGCAAGCAAAATTCACTCAAATAATTACATATAAAATATCCACCTTCCTATTTTCTATCAAACAGAATCCAGTGTGTAAAAGTTGTCAAAGTAAAATCTGTATCATTTATTGAATAGCAGCAATCCCCCCCCCCCCTCCCTCCTCCCCTCAGGGTACTGTGCATGCTCCAGTACTTTCTCTCATTCTTATTGTACATTGACAAGAACACAAACCATAAGTACCGTATCATTTGTATGCGACACGGATTTTTTAATAGACAATATAGAGGACACTGCAAACCTCCAATTTGATATAAATTAGGTCTTTATAATTTCATTATTAATTCTAGTGATTACCAGTTGCTATTCATAATTTGCTATGGACTCCTGAATGGGCTGATGTGCATAAATGATTTGTGGAAAACTGGATAGCAAAAAGAGCCATTGTTGACAAAGACGGCTTCATCTTGCCTTGAGGCAGGAGGAGAGTTGTAAGTATTACTCTTGATGTCAGGATTTAAGCTTCATTAAACATGTTGCCCAAACCAAGGGTAGTGGAAATACATTGTGATTGTATTAGTGCTCAGTAGTCTACCTGGCTTGGCTCCTTTCATAGTTGATGCAGGCAGTGCCAGACCAGCCAGGTTGTTGTAAATATGCAGGTCTTCAAGCAACAGTAGTCTGGACAATGTTATCACTTAGCCTGTCCTCTGGGTGAGTGTGAAATAGAATAACAACATACTTCTGGTATACTACAATGTTGGTCCCAAGTGATTCATTTAATGTGTAACCTGATATAATGCAAGAAATAGCAATGCTAGTTATGGTTGTCAAGAAATACTGTATACCTTAATATGTTACACATGTAATACTCATAAATGTTAAATATGTAATACTCATAAATGTTAAATATGTAATACTCATAAATGTTAAATATGTAATACTCATAAATCAATGTATTGAAAATGACGCGGTACGGCTGGAGCAACCTGCCGTCATCTTCAGCAGCCGGCTGCACCCCGTGGTGAACACAATGTACTAGTTGTGTGTTTAAAGGCAAGTAATGTATTAAAGCAAATGCACTAATTTGCACAGCAACTTTATTTTTTAATATCCATTTCTGAATGTTAAAGAAAAAATGTAATTGCCAAATTGATTGCCTTGTGGGTACTTTATGGAATAATTTTTGTTACCGTTTTAACTGCTTTCTTCTGCTTGGTCATGCATCCCTTAGTGTGGTTTTTCATAAGAAAATTGGCCTTTTGCACAATTACCCCAAAAGGCTGCGTTTGATCCTCAGGATCAGATTCTATCATAAAATGTGTTATTCAACTCCTGTATTGACATTAAAATGAATATAATCAAATTAAAAATTAAGGTTCTTAGTTATGAGATTTAAGATTGATATCTTGAATGACACTGAAATGTATTTGTGTTGCAGCCCAACTGGAGGAAACCGAAGGGTATTGACAACCGTGTGAGGCGGCGCTTCAGAGGGCAGTACCTCATGCCCAATGTTGGTTATGGTTCAGCAGCCAAGACCAAACACATGCTTCCTAATGGCTTCAGAAAGGTCCTCATTCATAATGTTCGTGTAAGTATGGAAAAGCTATTTTTCCGAGCCTGAAAAAATATTGTGATGAAAACCTTATAGGCTAGAGTTCTAAACTCCTGCAGTTGGCGGGGGTGTATGGTGACGTTTATCCTTACTGATAAGACTAAAGCAGTGTGTGAGATAATTGTAGTTTGTCGTTTGTTAATAAAAGAAAATTCCACAGGAGCAGCAGATGCTTCTAATGGATATGATGTGGCCCCTTTTGTGGAGGAATTGCTCATGGTACGTCCTATAAATGCAATTATATCATTGAAAGGACAATCCAACTCTGCCTGACTTATTAGTTTTACAAAACTGCACCCAAGAGTTCATACAAGGTAAGATTTACATCTTTCATGTTAAATTAGCTAGAATCTTAAAATTAAGTAATAAATGTTCTGTAGAGAATAGATGTCTGCAATTGTTGTTTTGGTGTCAGCCAGGTGTTGCTGAGCATTCACTGTACACAATACTGCTCTGGGAAGCACACTTCTGTGCCGTTGTGCAGCATGAGTTAAGGGGCATCAGTCCAAAAATATGCAATAAATGTAAACTAGTTCGATTTCAATCAATTTTTTGACGAGTTGTATGTGAAAAGGGTTTCATCTGGTCCAAGTCTCGGCATCGTAGCATAAATGGGAAGGGAAAAAAAATATTGATTTTTTTTAAATTTTTCCAAAATGGTCCAAAATTATCGAACACAAGTGTGAACTGAAATCATGTCTATGACTCGGCTATCACAATAGCATATAATAAAAATATTTAATAATTAGTTTTATCCAAAAAAATTAGTTAAAAAAAAATTTCATTTTTATTTTTATTTATTTATTTATCGGACAATTTGCATGTAAGTTGTATACCTGACAACACGTAAGCCTATCTGTAAGGGTGCCAAGGGGGCCAGGAAATTGATTGATGTCAACCTCAGCCACAGATGGCAGCACCTTAGACTTTATTTTTTCTTGTTTATTTTCAAGTAACATAAACGTTCATGTAACTTTTTCATTTTTTTATTCAATTTACATGAAACTTGCACCTTATATATAGAGTTTCTCTACAAATCTGTAAAAAGCATTTTTCCTAAGTTCATTTATTGACTTTATAATAGTAATAAACCATGATATATTTGCGTAATTTTTTTATGAAACTTTGACTATTTGTATTAGTAAAACTTAAACATATTTTACAAAATCCACTAAACATATCCTTTTATTATATGCTAATGATTTCATAGAAATGATTTCGTTGTAGTTGTAGTTATCGAAACTTGTAGTTGTTTCGATTTGAAAATGTGTAAAATATGTTGAAAATAACAAAAAAAAAAAAAATCTCCTCTATTTAGGCTGCAATACTGAAACTTGGAACAATTGCAGCCTTTTTCATATACTATTAGTCTAAAAAGATTGGTCGACATTGAACAACTTACAAGAAACACAGTTATGCCCCCTTAAGGGACTTGAGGTTAAGGCCAAGTGATGCAGTTGGAGTTATTCAGCACTGCTGGTATAGCATTGTACATTTCACCGAGATTTAAAGTTCAGTACGGTATTAAGAGTCAAAATATTTAATGACAGTATGGGATTTATATATAAAATGAAGGTTAAGGTTAGTGGTTGTGCTGGAACACTTTCTAATGACAAAGCAAATAACAATAAAACAATGCAGTAAATGCTCAATGCCAGTAATAAAAGAAAATGGGATCACAGCAAAAGCTTCGACAAATTGCCGACTACATCCCTCTATAATTACGTGTAGAACTAAGTAAGTATAAAACATGCAACACATTTCCACTCCTTCATAAGGTTCTGGTGCTTGAATTTCTTGCTTGACTTAGTGCAGTTTGTAATTTTTGAACACACCGCTTCTCTTCTCCAACATAATGGACCTCAAATGAAAGTGACCACGAGGTTATTATGTAGATATTTAGTTTTAATTTGAGGGTCCAGTAATTACATCCATATCTAGTGAACCATGAAGGAATTTAGATTTTTTTTATACATATTATAGCCCATTTTTAAGGGTCAAATGTAATTGTAATGTAATTAGCAGTCTCCGTGGTGCAGTGGTAAGACACTCGCCTGGCGTCCCGCAAGCGCTATGTCATGGGTTGGTATCCTGGCCGGGGAGGATTTACTGGGCGCAAATCCTTAACTGTAGCCTCTGTTTAACGCAACAGTAAAATGTGTACTTGGATGAAAAAACGATTCTTCGTGGCAGGGGATCGTATTCCAGGGACCATAGGATTAAGGACTTGCCCGAAATGCTACGCGTACTAGTGGCTGTACAAGAATGTAACAACTCTTGTATATATCTCAAAAAAAAAAAAAAAAAAAAAAAAAAAAAAAAAAAAATATTGAGCAAAAACCCTTTGAAGTTACCTTCCATTAGTTTTGAGGATCAATGTCCCCGTTGGCCAGTCTGTGACCAGCCTCCTGGTTGGTTGTCTGGTTAACCATGCTGCTAGATGGAACTGCATGCAGTATGACTAATGAATCACAGCCAAGTTGATCAGGTATCCTTTGGAGGTGTTCATCATGCTCTCTTTTTCAACACCACGAGAGGTTGGCTAGTTATGCCCCCTTGTGTTTAGAGGAAAGTTAAAAATTGTTGGGTCCTTGATGTTGAGAGAATTCAGTTTCAATGTAGCTATTGCATCTGCTTTTCAACAGGGCTATTTTGCATTTTCTGCCATGCCTTCTTATCTCATGTGGTGGTGTTTTGTGCGTGGATTTGGACCAGTCCCTCTAATATTTTCAATGTGTAAATTATTATGCAACTCGACTGCCTGCATTCCAAAGAATACAGATTTAAAAATTTTCAGCGTCCCAATATATTAGATTCCATTCACCTTGGCTCTAGGAGACTCGAACAACGGACCCCATGCGTGTGAGGCCA